ATATTTATAGACAGTCAGAAAATATATTAGTAAAACATGGCAACGCCCTGTGATGTAAAACGTCCAGTAAAATTTAATTCGCATCAAGAATGTTCACACCTTTGAGTTTTCACTTGTTCAAAAGTTAAACTAACCCGTCGATTTCAAATCAGAAATATCCAGTGGCCGCATTAAGCTTCAGATAACATTTAATATGGTTGTTATACGGGGACGATGAGTTTTAACAATTTCTCGTATCATATATATATATATATAGTGTATATATAGTTGTTTATTTGATTGTGATAGCGTATAGTGTCGTAGATGTTTGTCAGTTTGTCAAAGTTTCGATGGAATCTCCTGCTTCCATCTTCACCCTAACTCAGACGATAGAATCCGACTGTTCAGTACCGGCGATACCAATGTCCGCCATTAGGCAAAATAAGTTCAGATAAGTTCATGTCCTCACAACCTCTCTCTCTAAGATGCATTTTAATATTATGCTGTCATTTTCTTGGTCTTTTAATGTGGTCGTTTTCCAAGAGATTTCCATGTTAAAATTCTGTATATCCGAACTTCATGGGTAGATAATCGTAATTTCAATAATTCAACTAAGTAACGATCCTGTCTGGGATACATAAATACGTGTACACTCAGATAGTCCGGAAGTGCGTCACGCAGTTTCTCTTCATGTCTCATAAATGTACTGGAGCACAGTCAGAGCGAGACGGCGCGGGATGCAGACTCAGAAGAGAAATCACAAGAACAAAACAAACTCCGTGGCTTGAGTCCGCAAGCGAACTATACCGATCGAGCGACCGCCACTTGTCGGAGAATTTGGTGCCAAATTTAGCGGATAGAGGGTGTCGCGTGGTCGCCGCAACGAATCCCCACGGCCGTTAATTTCGGTTTTCTAGAGCGGAGCCGCTATTTCATTGAAATAGCTCCTCAATAAACCTCACGAGGCTGAGTTTACCCCGTTCTAGACCCACTATTTCTCAGAAAATCTGGCAGCGCCGGGAATCGAATCCAGACCTCCGGATCTGTAGCCAGGAACTCTGACCACTAGACCACAGAGGCAGTCCAAATCATGAGAATAGTGTTTCAAATTTTATTTAACAAATATTTATGTGCTGTACTTCCATCCAACTGGCACGTAGCACCTGACACTATTTCTCCACGTGGAAATAAATTTACCGATGTGTAATTGCCATTTTCACGGAGGGAAATACTCGTACACTATACAGTTATACCCACGCGCGAGCGCGTTACGCCATCTTTGCTGCTAGTTACAGAAACAACAGGCAGACATGGAATTCGCCTTATGTTTCTGTTCAGATTACACGCAACACAACAAAGACAGAGAAGTTGCCGATATTGCCCGTGAGTTACTTCGAACTTTGAGGTTACAAGTGAATTAATGTAAATAGTGAGGAACTTGCGTAGGCCTATTTACGGTAACCACTATTACATGATATATGGTACGATGTAATATAATATAATAAAATCCATGATTTATAGTTTTGATGAATGTTTGCAGGGATTTAATTTAAATTATATTTCCCGAACAAATATCCCCGTGCCATGCACAGAATACTGGTCTGCATTATTTATATCGTTCATATTACCAGAACGCGGATATAATTTGAAAGCATGTGGAGTTATTAATACAGTTTTCAAAGAGCCAAGTAATTAACTGATAATTGTAATGTGAAAGTGTCCTTTCCCAAATTCGTACAAAACGGCCGTTAGAGACTTTACTGTTGTAAATGGCGATATGACTTCTACTAACCATTCGCAACTATAAAGAAGTAACAGAGGCTAAGTAGGTTAATAGGAGGTTCGGATGGTTAGTCAGTCCATAACAGCCGGTGAGAAATGAGCACACAATACAATGATTAGGTGATAGAGGAAGGATCAGTTACGGTAATGTTTTCCTTAGTACCAAGGAGCTACGAGGCAGACTGAAGGAGCACTCATCTCTACTTTACTGACCTCGGATGGTTTTGATGTTGAGGTTGTAGATGGACAGGTAAACGTTATATATGCCAGGTTTATCAGGTATATAAATGAATACGTTCTGTAAATACAGAGATACGCTTTCTTAATTTTATAATAATGGTTTATAAAGTGCTTACCATTTCCTAATGCAGTTAAGAGAATGGTATAGTAAACAAAGCAACATTACATTTGTTCATATTCATATGGATGATTAAACATAGTATCAAAATAGAACTGTAAATTAGTATATAGATGTATATAGTTTTATGTACATATTGCATTAACTCGAACGATAGCCTGTAAAATTAATTATTGATATCGATTAACAGAAATCAGTCTTGAGCGTGATTACCTCGTCATAAAGGCTTATGTAAGATTTGGGATAATGCTCCATTCTGTAGTTAATGCAGAAGATTGCTGAGGCGCTTATGAATATGCACATGCTTATATAAATATATAACTAAGTGAAAATTTCTTCGGAAAATGACATTTGCTCAGATGGTTAAGAGATATCATTTGCTTTGTGTGTGTGTGTGTGTGTGTGTGTGGAATGGAAGATCAATTACTCTGTTCACAAGAGGCCGCCACTCGACCCTATGCCGAAACAGGTGATTCCACACTTCTTTAAGATCTACCATAATGTTTTCCTTCCACCTGTCCTTATTTCTCTTATCTTCAAGTCTTCCTACGAAACTTTGTATAAATGTACCTTTTCTTCCTTTTATGCTATATCCCCTCTCCGTCTGTCTCATCCTTTTTGATTTAAATTCCCAATAAAATTAAATGTAGCTAAAAATAAATCATGAAGCTCATTAATGTTATTTTCTACAGCCTCTCATTACTTCGTATATCTTAGATTCAGATATTATGCAGAGCACACTCTCAGTGTTCGTTCTTTAGGCATTTTAAGTATTATTTCTTTTTTGTAAATAATACTTGCATGATTAAGAAGATAGAGCTGAGTAGTATAGACTCTTTCTAACGGGCCAAACTGAGTAGGTCTATCTTGCCCCATCCACCTGAGGACGGAGACAGATCCAGTCTCCGAAACGTTGTGGTTTTTTTGTCTTATATATACCAGACGATGGATAGAGTATAAACCTTATAGTTCTGTACTGAGTAGTATAACATCCATTTAGCTTAAAGCCTGCGCAAATAGTTCTAGGAATAATTCATATGCCTGCATTTGTTTAAATGTTTGCAGCCGTATACGAAACTAATGGAAATATATATTAAACACGTCCATATAAGTGATATAATTTATCTGTTTTATGCCTGATAAAATGTTACGAAAACTTCCATACTTAAGCCATGTACTGAAGTATGTAAGCTGCAATTAGTATAAGTAAATAAGGAAATAAATAAATGTATACGTAAAGGTTTTGAAATTGAAATATAATCAAATTCAACAATGTTGGATATGGAAACCTGCTGATCTAAGCTATATGAAGGTAATTTATTGAATGTTACATATAAGTTTAAGCAGATTGTCCCATAAAGACGGCACCTGGATTCCATAATGCACATATAAATTAAACTTACTGTTAGTTCTGAAATGGAATTCTGAGAAATGGAAACCAGTTGAAAGTAACAGCCGCTTCGTTTCTAGTTCAGGGCAAGTGAAGGTCTGATTCTGCCTGTGTTAACCAGTGACGCTTGTAGAATCCTCCAGAACTGAATTTGACGTAATGAGAAGCTGTAATAGCATCAGAAACTTGGAGATATATGAGGATGAAATTGTACACCGACATCCGTCTTTCGACGACTTCCAGTCGACCGCATTCAGTTGCCGGAGTAAATAATTGGATTCATCCAAAACTCTTTTATTTGTAGTTTCCCTGATAGTTTTATTATTGCTAGTGGGGTTGGACTAAGTCCCTTGCACTGCGGCCACTTCTGGCCTATTGTACCAGCCACAGATGATAGGTGAGGGTGATTGTGAAGCAATTGGTGGAATGAAGATTGGCAGGGGAAACCGAAGTACTCGGAGAAAACCTGCCCCAGCGCCACTTTGTCAACCACAAATCCCACCTGACCAGATCCGGGATCGAACCCGGGCCGCCGTGGTGGAAAGCCAGCGACTAACCGCTTGAGCTATGGCGCGGCCTATTCTCTTAGATAGTAGGAAGTGTATTGACAAAAGCTTTCAATTTGTGTTCGATGATGGACGCTACAAGGAAGATCCTTACTTCGGCGTTTGCTGTCCAGTCTCTTCTTTTTGTTAATCAAGTTAATGGATATGAAAATGTGAATTATACATCTGTAGTGTATTGTTAGCCAGATTAATTCTCCCTGTTCACTGTTCACAGATCAAAAATGTTACTGTCTTAGTGAACAAAAACGGTTTATACAATTCATTCACATTTTAATAATAATACGTAACGTTATATTTCAGCATCCTGTTGCACCGTACACTTCTACACCTGAAGATGACCAGTTAGGCCGAAACATGCAGTGAAATAGTGTCCAGTATAGGACAAGTGAACAATGTTGCAATTAAAGGGCGCAAAACCTCCTAGATAATATGATATGTAACTTTTCTTATATTTAGTTAAATGTACAACATACGGAGAAAACGTTTCATATAGAAGTTGTGAATAATGAGACCCATTTTTATGTACCAGCTTTTTGCATGATGAGTTTTTAAATCAATTAGGGCGTTGAATTTGAACGTCAGGTAAAATAAAAGATACATTGAACCGACATGGACTAAAATGCGATTCGTCCAACGTTTAATATATGGCTCGCAATATCATATTTAGTAAAGTAGCATTCAGGAGTTCTGGAGATGAAACACGCGAAGGCAACTTCAGCGCTGTGTGTGTGCTACTGAGACGGACTCTGTACGTACAGAGCGGCCTAACACCACGAATTGTCAGAACTGTACAGCAGCCATGCTGCCAGTATAGCGGTGTTGCCGTACGTTCAGAACACAATCAGTTGTATGCAGTGCGTCTGAGTACATTACGGAGAGATAATTAGGCACTTTCTTTTCACATGTTGTGTTACTTCTGTTGCAGGCAAACAACGCATACACGCGCGACCAGTGGTTCCACTCCATTATCTGGAAGGTAAGCACGTACTAGAACTCTCCTGGAATATATAATTTGTGTTAGAAACCTATACCGTCTCTGTGGTCTAGTGGTCAGAATTTCTGGGTACAGATTCAGAGGTCCGGGTTCGAGTCCCGGTGCCACTATATTTTTTCTGAGAAGTAGTGAGTCTGGAACGGGGTCCACTGAGCCTCGTGATGATAATTGAGGAGCTCTTTCAAGGAAATAGCCGCTCGGGTCTGGAAAACCTAAATTAACGGACGTGGGGATTCGTTGTGCTGACCACGCGACACTCTCTATCCGCAACTGCGCCGACAAGCAGCGGTCGCTCGATCGGTATAATTCGCTTGTAGACTAAAATCACGGAGTTTGTTTGTTTGTTATAAGCCTATAGCAGATGTGATACAACATCTTAACGAAATGAAGTGTTTTGAGCTTGATTTAGTTAAAATTAATAGTTTCTAGGTCTTTAAAAGAGTTTCTCTATAGAAGGAATAATATATATAAGTTATAAAATGTATACTTGCATGATATTTACAGTGTACTTCGATTAGTGCTAATGGTGAAGGAGAATTAACACGAAATATTGTTTAGTGTTTAAATTATGTTTTTAATCATCATCATAAAAACGAATTGTATACTAAATATATAAATATATATTAGCTAGCAATACAGCCATCAGTTGCAAGAATACGGATCCGTATTATAACCACATTTTAATCACTTGAGTTATTCTCATAAGAGCCTGATGATGACCTAATTAAATGGTCGAAATATGTAGCAGAGTTACGTTTATATTAAACACGGAAGATATACCATTACCTATTGTCTTTATTGAATATATTCCTATATTACTTGTTGTGGTGACTTTCGTAATATAAGCAGTTAAATATTATATACTCGTACACAACAGGATGCAGTCTATAAAGTTTAAATGATAAAAATTAGTGCAGTGTATAAGGAAGGAAACGAAAAATATGCACAGCTGTAAGAGCCACTATCAGCTTGAAGTCACTGAGTAAATAAAAACATTTTCTGATAAACGTTGAATCCGGCGATGCCCATTTGAAGTTCCGAAGTTCTGCACGCCTAGTCACCTAGTCACCTAGTCACATAGTCACCTAGTCCCAAGACTCAGCTGTGATCCACCACCACTGACCAGACATATCCCTGCAGGCTACCGGGTTTGGCTGTGGTAGAGAACTCACCTTGCATTCGCGAGTTCTTAGTTCATATCTCAGCTGCCGCAATTATATTGAGGTTTCCCTGAATACATTCATATAAATTTCCAAATAGCTCCTTATGTAATGGGCCACGACCATTTTCTTCCCCTCTTTTAACTACTTCCTAATTGTTCTACCATTTCGAACCTGATGTGATGATGATACAGATTCCTTAAATGAAGCAAGAAGTAAGAAATCTCATGCCTGGACTCACTCACTCCTGGAGCTGAGCCCTTCTTGAGAAGCCACCAATTCTGCAGCTACTCAAGAACTTCCCAGTATTTTATGGAAACCGAAGGTCATGTCTAGACTGTTACTCCCAAAATAGCTTCAGAATTAATATGATAAATACAATGATACCGAAAAATAAACACAAAATATTCGTCGGGGGACGTGAAGGAAATTCATGACATGGAATATGTAGGTGTGGGTAGGAGGCTGATGGAATGAAGCTTCAGTAAATAGGGTATGAGGATGGGGACTGGATTAATCTGGCGCAGGACAAGGAGGTTCGGTGGCGTGTTCTTGTGATCACGGCAATGAAGTTCCGGGTTACATACTAAGGCGTGTAATTGCTTGTTAGTCGAGATGATGTTAGCTGCTCAAGGAAGAGCCTGCTCGTTGGAACTTGATGCAACGAGGTCTGGATTACCCATGCATATGCTGTGCATACAGGTAACTGCATGAAATATTACGAGTTCAACTTACCAGAGACTGAAGGCCGCGCCATAGCTCAAGCGGTTAGTCGCTGGCTTCCCACCGCGGCGGCCCGGGTTCGATCCCGGGGTCTGGTCAAGTGGGATTTGTGGTGAACAATGTGGCGCTGGGGCAGGTTTTCTCCGAGTATTTCGGTTTCCCCTGCCAATCTTCATTCCACCAGTTGCTCCACAATCACCCTCACCTATCATCTGGGGCTGGTACAATAGGTCAGAAGTGGCCGCAGTACAAGGGACTTAGTCCCACCCCACTAGCATCAAAAAAAAAAATCAGAGACTGAATGAAGTGTACTCGCAAAAAAATCCTATCAGTTTTGTCCCACATTGACAGATCGTTATGCAAGGCGTATTTTACAAATAAAATATACTAGTATTTTTCAAAATTATATTTGTGAGTACTAGTACATTGTGTTCCAGACTGTCCTTTCCTTCTCAAAACGTTTCTTTAAATAAGTATTGATTGTAAGATTTGAGTTTTGCACGGCGGTAACTAAGAAGAAGGTCGTCTTTGGGTTGTGGCGCATTGTAGATCTTGTGTGAACCGACGTTTCGGAGTCTTTAGGGTAGTATGCAGCCACCTGTTCTCCCCGGTTATTCGCTCGCGGATTTTCTATCATGAAAAATGAAGCTATACGATTTTCCGAAACGTCGGTTCATACATGATCTACACGGTGCCACATTCCAGAAGACGGAATTCTTCAAGTATTGATTGGTATATATCTCGTTGTTTTTGGAATATATTGTAATGTGTTTCGTCTCATTAACTACATCTATAGTATATCTTCAGCAGAATCAGAGGGTGATGAGTCAGTAATTCTGTCGGCGCCTTATTTAGTTCTGACGTTATCAGTAGCTAACGTGTATATACAGAACCTAACGGATGAGAAACCGAAAAAACTCTCTCATTTTTTAATGGATCGAATTGGGTTCTCTCGGATTCTCGAGGTGAATACAACGAAGCATGTGTCTGAGCTGATTTTTTCCCATGACAGTCCATGGAAATTATATTTATATGTCAACAGATTTGGGCAACTTTAATGTAAAGGTTATGATGTGCTTTAAAGCGAATTAGGGGAAGACACTTAGGAAATTAAGAAAAACAAAGAAAATAACCATTCGGTTTCAGTAGTCATACAGCAACGATATTAAAGCTAGGACTTCATTTTATGATTAAAGTCACTAAACACAAATTTTCAACCTTGAAAACAATTTTAGGCAAAGAACTGATTCTGGCTTATTTAATATTTGTTCAGTAATTAAATTGTGGCTCATTTTAATATAATAATTTATCTTGATTTAGAGTGTCTGATATTTTATTGGAATACATGACAACGAGAAGTTCTGGGGAGAACTAATCGCCTACTTTCTTTTGATACGACAGGGGAGGCACAGAAAATAACGCGTCCAGCAATTATTCTATGGTTACGTGTGTATTCATTGCTGCAGTAAGTTTTTATCTAGCCGTTGCCTAGCAACGATAGGGCGTTACACTTATAGACATGAAGATTGATGGGAGGGATTTATGAAGTGCGCCATTGACATGAGCGCAGGTCCATGATACACGTACCAAGTTTAATAAAGATTGGTGAAGTGGGATACACAGACTCACAGAGTATGCTGATCTCATAAGCCTCCTTTTATTTTTTCAAAATACGGAAAATAGGATAAAAATTTGATTACTCTGAGAATTCTTGCTGTCTCATGTTTTCATTAAAAACAGAAATTGTTACATGAATCCTAAACATGAATTCGAAGTGTGCAAACGTTACGCTAAGTCGCTTCACTAAAGTACTTTTACGAGGTACTTGTTTTTCTTATTTAATTTTTTCCTTTTCCGTAGTTAATTGAACAACCGACATGCGTAATTACTGTGGCATATTTAATATGTGTATATAGAGAATTGTAAAGGACTGAGCAAAGCATTAATACATATGGAGGCCAATGACAGCTGGAGCAAGGCTATATCATATATTTAAGGTGGAAATACATTTGATATACTATTGATATTAGTGGTTAATTACATTTTAAACCCAGGTATAAGCCTTGCATCATCTGTGTGAGTTCTGGTGATGAAATTTACAAATACTATTTAGTGTTATTGTTTATTTGGATTTCAGTTGTCATTTCGAACAAATGCTGGGCCGGATTCGAGATGTAGGTCAGAGATATAAACCAGTCTGCCATCTCCCAGCTTTGAAGTTATATGTCGCTCTTTACGAAGAGTGTTAGAAGCTGAGAGCTAGTATCACGGCAACAAATGTTTGTACATGCCTTTATCGTTGCCTTCGGAACCGAGGTTACAGTCATCTCGAGTAGGAGGCTGAGCCTCAAAGACGTTATGAAATGGTAAAAAGAATATGCGTATACAGTTCATAGCCAGTGGCTTCACTGACTGACTGACTGACTGACTGACTGACTGCGTGGGTGGATTGATTGATTGATTGGAGTATCACAGTTAATAGGCCGCGCCATAGCTCAAGCGGTTAGTCACTGGCTTCGCACCGCGGCGGCCCGGGTTCTATCCCGGGTCTGGTCAAGTCGGATTTGTGGTGGACAGAGTGGAGCTGGGGCGGGTTTTCTCCGAGTACTTCGGTTTCCCCTGTCAATCTTCATTCCACCAAATTCTGCATCATCATAATCACCCGGGGCAGGCTACAATAGGCCAATCAGTGGCCGTCGTGCCGATTGGGCCCAGTTGGACTCCACCCCCCACTAAACGAATTAATTACAGTTAATATCTAACTTTTTTTTTCTCCTTGGCACTACAGCCCCATTGGGCCTAGGCCGACCTCCAGGAACTTCTCCGTTCATTTCGGTTTTTCTAGATCTCACACATTCGGTAGTATTCCTTGGGTTGGTGATCAACTTGTCGCAAGGCTTCTACCTGTACACAAACACAGAAAAACACACACACAAACTAAACATCCATGCCCTGAGTGGGATTCGAACCCACGATCCCGGTTTCCAAGCGAGCGAAGACAGTACATGCCTTAGACCGCTCGGCTACCGTGACCGGCCAATATCTAACTTTACCGCATGTCAAAATTTAATTTTGTTAGTAATTCATGATACGTTTTTA